CGAAGATGCCGACCCCGCCAGCCTCCAGGGCGCGGTACAGCGCGGCCATGAACTCCTCCTGGATCCGGTACGGGGCAAACGGAAAGGGGAAGCGCACGCCTCCCTCCCGCGCCCCAACGGCCGCCCCCGCCTCAACCGCCATCGTGCCACCGCCCGCTGCCCGCTTCCCGCTTCGAATGGACCGCCGAGGAGGCCCCACCCCCGCCGGAGTCTGACGTCACCCGGCCCGGCGGTGGCAGCGCATGCGCGAGCCATGCTATTGGACCCGCCCACCGCCTCGCTCTCATTCGGAGACGTGGGGAGGCTGAGCGTTCGGGGGTGTTGCGGCGAGGGCATGTGACGGCGCTTATGACGTGCACCGGCCTTGGGCGCTTCCTGCGAGGGCCGCGCGTGAGAAGCGGGGGGAGGGGGTTATCGCTGGCAGTGATGTGGAGCCTAGTGCGCGGGAGCAGACAGCTGGGTGTGCTCTGGCTAGTAAGGCAGCAAAAACCTAAAAATCCCCAGGCCTTGTGCTGTGCTTTACGTGCTAGTCGTTTGTACCCAATACCCTGAAGGGAAATGAGGCTAAAGGCAGCCGCGTGGTTGAACCTGGGGCTGATTATGCTGGTGGTATCTGGGGCTAGAAGCACAGGCAGGGCAGTCGTTAACACGAGAAGTTTAAATGGCAATTCATGGAATTAGCCTGGACTGCTGGGAGGCCAAGTGTTCCCCATGCCACCGGTTCTCAACCTTTTCTGTACCAGGACCCATTTGTAAACATCAGTAGGCAGTCCCCAAGCAGTGCTGACCTCCAGCCCCCCTGGTGTGTGGGCATGGGGGGGGGGCCCAGGCAGCTCCTTGCAGGCTTGAGCTCTGCCAGCCTGCAGGGGAAAGCCAAGGTTTTTTCCCTTAAAGGAGACTTCATTTTTAAAGTTTCTCGATCCATTTTTAATGTTTCTCCAGAATCCTTTCAGATATTCTTGCAACCCACTTTTGGGTCACAACACACGGGTTGAGAAACGCTGCCCTAGGATGCTTCCTCTGGGACAATGGGCCTGGCCAAGGTTTGCTGAGAGACAAGGCACACCAATTTGAACCAAACCCATTGTCTGCTTTCAGCCTAAGGGCCTTGTTACAGGTTGCTCTTTGAGCTGCTCAAATGTTGCTCCTGTTAGTGTTAGCTCCAGTCTGCAGCAGTCCAATTTAAGGCTAAAAACCTCCTCGGACCAACCCCTACCTGCACAGCAGTGACTTGCAGCTACAGGGCTGGCAGGCAGGGGGCCTGCCTGGGAGCTGCAGCTGTGAGTTGCCACTGCAGGACTGATGAGCCAGGGCAGGCTTCTATCCCTGCTGTAGGTAGACCCGGGGTGTAAGGGATTGGTTGAGGTGGGAAGAAGGTAAGGATATGAAACAGAGGCAGAGATAGGGTTGCCAACTCTACCGAAGCTATTCCGGGAGGGGTATTTTTCCCTTAAAATATCCTATTCAAATCTCCCGGATTGCTTTCAACAGTCACTGGGAGATCGATGCTGATTCCAGTAGACTCCAGGCCAGTACGGGAGGGTTGGCAACCCTAGGTGGACGGTTAATGGGATGCAGGTAGGGCAGCCATTAGTCCAGTTTTATAGAGGACAGTCTGGTTTTCTGATCCTCTGTTCTCTATTGATATGAAATTGGACGCCTTTATGTCCTCTGTTTTTACTGCTTGGCACCCCCCTCTCTCCTGCAATGCTTAAAAATAATATGTTCAGCAAATGT